TGGTCCGCTGTCCCTGTTATTTACCTTGAGCTCTGCGATAAGACCCAAGGAAAATCAGCAATATTATTGGTTCTGATCTGGCAAAGATGTAGCCGTAAATTCTATGTTGTTTCTTTTCTCGCTCTTCTCGCCTGTGGAACTCCCGTTCCGCTTCATGGTTTCCAGCCAACTTTAATTTACAAAAATTTAAAGCAATGTCAATCGCTATCTACTGTCTTCTTGATTGTTCTTTCCTCTTACTGCTCATTATTAATATTTCTGTTCCAAATCCTGTAACCCCTTGTGTCTTAGTGGCTTTACTACCTTGCATGGGGTAATATCGATTATACACACACACACACACACATATATGTATATATATATATATAATATGAAAAAATTGATTAACTTTTAAGTATTAATTTTATCCCGACTTTGAGTTTCTTGGTAAAATTACCAGTCTTCAATCTATCGGAAGAGAAAAAAGAAAGTCAGAGATAGCAATACATACATACACACTCACACACACACACACACATATATATATATATATATATATATATATATATATATATATATATATGTGTGTGTGTGCATGCGCGCAAATATATAGAAAAATAGGAAAGAACACGTTAGGTTAATAATCCGAAGTTCTTTAGTATTTTTTTTTTAATAGTTGGTCAATATTTATATATATATATATATATATATATATATATATATATATATATATATATATATATATATATATATATATATAGATAGATAGATAGATAGATAGAGAGAGAATGAGATAGAAAGAGCAAACAGAAATGAAGGCATGAACGAAGGAAAGAAGGAACCAACGAACGAATGAACGAATAGAAAAGATTCAAACTTTGGTTCTTCATCATAAATAACACGTCTATCTTTTTAAAGAAGTATTGACAAAAAGGCGATAATAGGCATCGGGTCAAAGGTTCAATCTCAAGTCACTTCCTACTAAATATGTCTCTTTAGTATTATATTGCAGCATGGCAGATTCCTTCTTTCACAGTCGGCCATCAAACTAACAAATCGTAATTCGTCCCCACTTGAGGTGGGTTGGGGAAGTTGTCATGAAATGCCAGACTCATGAGTCCCAGTCGATCTGTTTACACAGTCTATAGTAAAAGTAGTAAATTTGTCACTTGGGTCGAACGGGTGTGATCTCGCGCCAGATAACATTAGGACGAGATATTAGGGAAAATAGCGTTTCCTCTTTTTGTAACTGTAGCCGGAAGTTGCTGTTAAAATGGGGGCAAAGCGATTTGGAAGACGAAGAAAAAATAAAGGTGAATTTGAGAGAGGGAGAGAGAGAAAACTAGAAATAAGAATAAATAAAAAAGAAATATATTTCTGAGTAAATTCAGACAAAAGTCTTCTTCTTTTTGTGCCGTGTCCCTTCAGGACGTAGATGATCATGGCCCTCCACATCTTCCTGCCCCTTGTGGCTGTAAATGAGGTTTCTCTTTTTGATATTTCTCTCAAACCCTGTTCTACAACCCATTTACTGAAGCCCACCAAGTATATTAAGTGTTGCTTTTCTCAATCAATCCTTAAGCTTAATTGATGGTCTTTTTACTGCTCTTAACTGATCATAATTCTCTAAATTAAGCTGTGTCGGAAAGCGATGACAATTTTTTCATCTTTTTATAATAAACCCATTTTTCTGTACACTATTTACATTATTCGGGCTATTGTCCTCATCTTTGTCGCCATGTTTATCACAACGTTTCGGCCATTGTACACTCCGTTGTTTGGAATTTCGAACTGAACCCTTTATTTCGCTCACTGGGGTAGACTGTTCTAGTTCCTCGTGCCATGTCTAACGGATGTCAGTTATCTGTTAATTCCCCTCTCAAAGTTTTCCGCTGCCTTGAACTCACACTCTTTGGTTCTGTCACTGGATCTAACTAACGCCTTTATCCACTGTGCCATGTGTCCTTGATGACATCTGTGTATAAATTTCTGGGTATACACTGATGAGGACAACAGCCCGAGTAATGTAAATAGTGTACATAATACCTCATCTCAGATATATAGACATACCCTTTTTCTGCGTAGAAAAGCAATGACAACTGTTGTAAAGCTTTTATTTTAAATTAAAAATAAAACAAATAATAATTAATGAGCAAACTTTGTAAAGAACATAAATATTTACAAAATAAAATTACAAAATAAAATTACATAAATTAAAACAATTACATAAATAATAAAATTACTAGAAAGAAAAAAATAATTCATGACCAAAGTTCCCGCAAAGTTTGAGTCTTTAATTATTATTTCGTTTTTAGCATTTTTTTATTTTGTAATTTTATTTTGTAGATAATCATGCTCTTTACAAAGTTCGCACATTTTACTTTTTTACAGTAAAAGGCCATTAATTAAGCTTCCGCGCGCAAAATGTTCCGCAGTGAATGTAGTTAAACAAGGCCAGTAATGGCCGACGGCTAAACGCGACTGAGTCCAAACTTTTATTGCCGATAACTCCAAAACGGTAGGTTTTATCAAAATTTAATTATTAATTCGAGTTCAGCATGTATATTTACACGGAAATATGACGCTTTGGGGGAATTTTAATAGATATTTAGCACGGGGCTTAAAAAGCAAATGTACCCATTTTAACGTCGTGTAGAAATACATGGTCAAAGTAGAGAGTAAAGGCAATTTCCTAATTATACGGTAAAAACAACAGAGATGCATTGACGCGCAACACCACGTGAGCGCATGGGATAACGGGGAGATAACCTCGCACAGCATTCCATCGTGGCAGGGAGCAACGCGGTCAGATGTATGGACGCTCGACAAATCGATTACACCGTTGAGAAACAGCGCGTCGTAGTGCGCTTTCTGTTGGCAGTGGGAATCAAACCTGTCGAAATCCATTGCTGGATTTGGCGCAGTATGGAGCACGCACAGTGGATCAACGAAAGGTCTATGAACGGGTAGAATGCTTTCAAGCGGGAAGAATCGTGACAGCTGACGAGACATGAGCACACCACTACGACCTGGAGTGTATAAAGCATTCAGTGGAAACATCCATCATCCTTTATCCACAAGAAATTCAATTAACAGCTGCCCTGTACGAAACTGATCTTTTGAGATTCTGACGGCGCTCCAGGTACATGGTGAAACTGTGAATATTGCAATGTGTTGTACTTTGCTGCAAGAACAACCGAAACCCACAACTCGTCACATGCAACTACTGTCCCAAGGGGTGTCACTGCTCAACGAAAATGCACGACCGAATACAGCAACGGTAGAGAATGTACGATTCACTAGTAGAATCACCAATATGTTCTACATAGTGAAAGCTAAGCATGAGGTCTGCTTCGGGAGCTGCACGTATCTGGGGTAAACAGTAGAAAAATTCCTTCGGTTTTATTTTTCCAACATGTAACATGCAAAATTTGGGTGCGTCCTATAAACCCACAAACGAGGTAAACTTTGGAGAGTATGTTTTTTTGTTGTCTTAATTGCAAATAAGCACCTGTAAAAGAAGTTGAAATATTTAGATTCAAAATGATAAAGACGAAAAAGATACAGACAGATAGAAAAAGATAAGAATATGTGTAATAAATATGAAAATTTTCGAAAAGATACTTTATCAAATGGGATGTACTGCAACTCACCGTGTAAACACGAATCAACACTATTCAATTTAGGAACAATATATAAGAAAACAAAATATTTATTCCCTTGACTACAAGAATGTAGGTGTTCAATTTAATAAGTGTTTATTAAGAATAAATTGAATAGGGTTTATTAAGTATAAATTGAATAAGGTTAATTCAGTATAAATTGAACAGGGTTTATTCGTGTTTACATAGTGAAGTGTAGTATATCCCATCTAATACGATATCTTTCCGAAAAGTTTCATATTTAGAACACATATTACTGTCATGAAAATCTTTTTACAATGATAATCAGCCTTTATAAGGCCCAAGAGTCACTTGGGGTAGAGCGTTACAGAGTAAGAGACACAGTTTATTCGTATATGTGGGAAAGATAAAGGTTAACACTAGACTTGAAAGGGTTAAAAATCTCACCAATGGAATACAAAGAGAATGTGTGTGGTTCAATGTGCGTGACATGGAGGTTCTTAGCCGTGGAGGTTAGAACTGATGGAACTAAGGAATATTGTTGGTCTGAACACTTTCCATAGAAATAGCGATAGAACCGCGAGAGGCATGCAACGTTTCGTCTGTGGGAAAGGGGTTGTAAGGTGGAAAATAATTCATCATCCACAAGGACGCGGAGATGCTTTGGGAAACAGCCTCGATTGGAAAGTGAAGTCTAGGCATCTCCTGTCCATATATGGCAGTAGTACTCCATTTTCGGCCTGATTTGGCTCTTGCAAAAGTAGAGGATTGTAGGAGGGAACAGGTATTTCTTAGAACGGTACAGTGAACTGACCACTTTCCAGTACCTTTGGCAATGTATCGTAACCCTCTAAGCCATTCCTTGTCAAAAGGCCTTTGGAATATATTTAATGCGATTGTCTTTGAGATGTATTTGTTGTCTTATATCATAAGGCATAAAACATATTTATATAAGAGCCAGTTTATAGTCAGGGATTCCAATTCCATAGAGAAAAAACTGATGCAAATTCTAAAAAATTTGAAACAGTGAAAAGATAATTATTTAAAATATTATTTCGAATGCAATAATAAACAAATAGAGTTTATGTTCTTTGAAAGAATTCATTTTTATGTGTGTCAACGCGTCTTAAAGCGTCAAAGACAAAGTAAATTCTGGATGTTACTGAAAGCGGAAATAATACATTCCACAAGAAAATCTGAAATCTCATGTTCTGTTAGATTTATACTTAAAATAAGGATAGATAATTTCGCAAAAAAAACATTTCTAATTAATAACAAAATCACTTCTATCCATTCCATCTCATTTGTGCATGAATTTCGCAATCAATTCATGAATCTATAGGAATTAATAGATTTTATTTATAATCCGACATATTTCTCATTATTATATGTTAGGCTTACAGCCATATTACCTTGAAACATCGATTCCCGTACGACCACCGAAGTTAAGCAAAGTCGAGCCTGGTCATTATGTAGATGAGTAACCGCTTGGGAAAACCAGGTGCTGTAATCTTGGATATTAAGGTGGCGTAATGCATAATGGCTCGTAATTGTTAATCGGAGATTAACAGATGGGTTCGTTATATTCATCTAGGTGCAAATACCCTTAGGAAAGGTATGGATCCAACACTTATTCCCCCAGCTATGTGTTAATTAGTAAAATTTGTATAACTAAATCATTATTATCTAAAAGAAAAAGACGGAATTCTTATAATTTAAAATATTTTCTGTCTTTAAATAACCTGCAAATAATTGATAAGCCATAGAAAACGAATCAATCTTAAGTTAGATTTACTCGATACAATTCAAGCTTTTTATTGTATGAATTTCTCAGGTGAAAATGTTCAAACAATAAAATACTCTACAGAAATTAATGGATTTCATTTATTATCCGGTACATTTCTTACAATTGACGTTATATTTGCTGGATATACGTGTCTGAGTGGACAACCCTGTATTTTTTAAACGATGAAATTAACGTCTACCTGTCTGGACGTTTGATAGTCTTAATATAGACATTGTACTTTTCGACAGGGTTTGAACCTAAGTCTCACTCACACTGGGGCAACGATCTGGAAGCGAAGTGTACTTTAGACCATTCAGCCGCAAAAGACCTTTCAGTAAAACACGGCTCATTTTTTTTTTTATAATCAATTCATCCCAAGCAAGGCGATAAAACCACTAAGATGCAAGAGGTTACTGGAAGTGACAGGTAAAGACTTTAAAGGGAACCGGAAATCCAATAAGAGAATAAATTTCAGAGTTTAGGTGGAGACGTTAGAAGTATAAGGTTGACGTAGAATTTAGAAACTGACAACTCAATCCTGAAAAGAAAACAAGGGATAAACCTCTACTGCTGTTCAAGAAACATGAGAGGAGTTTAAACCGGACAATAGGCGAACCTATCTACTCTTATTAAATGACACTTTTTAAGAAATGCAAATCTATTGTTGGGACATTTCGAAGCCCAAATTTACTAATTTTATTTTCGTATCCGAACTATAAACAAAATAATTTCGAAAATATATTTCATCAACAAGAGTAACTGAGCGTTGTTTAGCTATAAAGTAATTTTGTGACCGAGCAGACTTAAACATATCTGGCAAGAAGGATGTTTCTCTAATATTAGGGAGACTCTAGTTCGAAACCTTCTGAAAGACGCAATGTTTTTTTTTTTATTAAGACACCCGAATTCTTATCGCGGTAGACATTTAATTTCTCTGTTTAAGAAAATAGCGATATCTAATCCAACAGTCGTATCCTTGTATAGGAATAAGAAATATTTATCTATCTAACCTAATTCCAAAAATCAGATTTAAAAAATCCCTTCGTGGTCGGACCGAGAACTTTTCAGCAGTATTTTTTTTCAGTCAGCTTCGGAAGAAGATATTAAAAATAATAATACATTTTTTCTCTATGTCTGCTCAAAAAATAGATTATTTTTTCGTTTTTGAGGTATTTGTATTTTTTGTTCTTATGTACAGCATTTGAATAAATCCATCTTGCAAAACAACATTGTATTAAACTCGTAGAAGACGACATATATTTTTTTACGTATTTTTACTAAGAACAAACTTTATTTCTGGCAATTAATTTCCAGTTATGTTCTTAAAATGTAAGACACACATTTGTTTCTCTTTTTGTTACCGAAAAATGAAAAAAAAAAGTGTATTTATTAGAAATCCGAAACAAGCAGACGAGAAAATCGTTTGAAAGAACGGGTTCATGCAAAAGTGGTTTTGGAGAGGAAAACCCAGTTGCGTTTCGTTAGCCAGTCGCAGAGCGTTGCGAACGAACATGTTTATATTGTAGAGCCAGGATTGTACATAAACATACAATAATTCCACTAATGTGAAGCCAGCGGTTTTCACGGAGGATCAGACACAGATGGAAACTTTACAAAGCTCCTGACTTCTCTCTTTCGCTTGTTCGCTCTTAGACAAACGCACGCACACACACACACACACACACACACACACACACACACAAACTGACTCACTCAAATAAACAGATGTTCATGCACATGGGCGCTTGAAGATTTAGATCAGTGGTTGAAGAAATGGCCCAAGTGAGAAAAGGTTCTAGTTTTTAATCTGGTTTACGAAAAAACTCATTCAGGAGAAGGAAAATTTGATTCATTCTATTTCCTGATTATATTTTTGGTATTGTGACCTATGACCCCTTGAAGTTGGCTTCTTTTAATTGACCACGACATTTAACAGTTAGAAGGAGAAAGCCAGAAGATGGAGGTCACATTGGAAAGAACAAAATCATACAATATGGACATCAAGATGTGCTAGAAATCACCAATCATTGGACAGTGCATAACAATACATATTTCTTGCAATAATTCAACTGTCATATCAAAGTTGAATAGTCAATGAATTAATTATAAAAAAAAAAAAACAAAACAAACAATTATTCCCTGATTTTATGCATTTAAGATATAAAAGTTTTTTTTTTTAAAAACAAGAGCCTATGGGCCACAGTCGGTCTGCCATTTTATTTTTTTAGAGTTCTCGTGTTTGTTATGATGTTTACAAAAGCGTTTCAAATAAAAATTATTAATATTTTATTCATTTAGTTATAAAATTGATTTTTTTTTTGGTTCGCGTGAAAAAAAAAAAAGCGAAAAATATCCGTTATGTCTAGAAAACAGTTGATACATAACAATATAGGGTAGGGCACTCCGACATTGTTTAATGGTTAGCAAGCTTGTCTCGCTACGACTGAATAGTGAGTTCGATCCTTACTGGGTGCCTTCCTACTTTCGATCTTGTATCACATCTAGGCTACCCTTACAAAATCAACTGGTCACGACGACGTAGTGTAATGGTTAGCACGCTTGTCTCGGCAGATCCTCACTGGGTGCCCCCATTTTTTCGGCCTTGTGCCACATCTAAGCTGTGCTTAGAAAATCACCATAGCACTGTAGGGCTGTATAGAATTGAAATTTCATGGGAGAAAGTACATTCTGATCGAGATCTCTAAGGCAACGGATAAGGATTTTGATGGAGATCAAATTATTCTGTGAACATTGGCAAAATTTCAGATGAACTCTGAACTCTCATTGTTTAATTCCACCAGTTCAGATATTTACATGTTACTTCCTCAGAGTCGAAACATTCTCATTTCCTTCGTGTTCCAAAGTAAGCATAAAATTCCGCTCAGACGGCTTTTTGAAGTACTGCTTCCCTGATCACTACAATGACTCCTATCCAAAATATAGAAGGAGAAAGCCAGAAGATGGAGGTCACATTGGAAAGATCAAAATCATACAATATGGACATCAAGATGTGCTAGAAATCACCAATCAGTAGGCAGTGCCTAACAATACATATTTCTTGCAATAATTCAACTGTCATATCAAAGTTGAAATCTGTTTATCAATTCATTCAATCAATGCATTGCACCAAATATATATATGAAAGGAGTTCAGTTCAAGCTGTATTTGCACATATTCTACATTGAAAAATAAACAAACAAGCAAACAAAAACAAGCTCCGGCCTTCTTCAGGCGATATACATTGGAATATCAAACGCAGCCCGTTATTTATTCCACCGGGGTAGATTGTTCTCGTTCCACGTGCCATACCTATTTTGTATATCTCAGTTTTAGTTATTTTCCTTTAGTACTTTAACTCTTTAAATTTTTATTCCCTTCTGCCATAAGCACTTCTCCTCTCAGAACTAAACCAGACAAAACCGACAAGTAGCAGGTTGTTTAAATTCAGGGTTTTCCTTCTCCTAGACTGGAAATGATATATGGGGGCCGTGCGCTGCAAAGACGAAATGTAACGGGGAGTTCAAGCCCCCCTAAAAACAGTGAGATTAATGTTAAGTATACAAATGACATAACATATAACAAATGAGGAAGTTTTAAGAAGATTATAAACTACAATCTGTTTCTGTTTTGCAGGGGACTTTTAGCATCTTTGTTTATTTTGTTATCATTGCATACCAAGCCAGGCGCTAAAGCCACTAAGACTCAAGGGCTATTGAATGTGAAAGAATATGAGAGAACAATAAAAGAGGATGAATTAATAAGAGAGAAGATAACGATCGACATTGCATATAAATCTTTGAAGGTTAAAGTTGATTGGGAATCAAGAAGCCGGAAGACAATTCCAAAAGTGAGGAGAAAGTATTAGCATAGAACTTTCAATTGAAGCATTTCAATTGTAAAATGGTGAGACCTTGCTGCCAAACAAGTACTGCGCTTAAATTCATAAAGTCTAGGTACCAAAGAGGAAAGCCCTTCAGAAGAATTACCGTGAAAATATTTATAGAAAAGGCACAGGGAAGCTACGTTAAAGATGCAGGAAAGTAACCGAAGCCGAAATGCAAGATCAGGACTGATAACATTGCAGATTCATCTTTGGATTTTTATCAAGAATCTCTAAATATATAGTAGAAACATCAAATAATTTGTGACAACAATATTTAATTCATAGACGAATGGCCGATTTGTAAATTTGTATGCTAGAATTTCTTAAAGCAGGGCATTTCCAAAATATTTAATCTAAACAATTATCATATTTCCGTTATATTGATTAACATATATTGATTAATATATCTGCTCAAAACAACGTTACCTGACCTTACAGTTTGTGTAAATATATGACAGAAAAGGGAGTAAGAGAGAGAGAGAGAGAGAGAGAGAGAGAGAGAGAAAGAGAAAGAGAGAGAGAGAAAAAGAAAGAGAAAGAGAGAGAGAAGGAGAGGAAGAGAGTAAAAACCTTGCTAAGAGCTAGAAAGGATGTGGAGAGCCATGACCACCCACTTTATGAAGGGATAATGCATATATGAGAATGAGAAAAGACGACTCGTATAGTTTAAAGCTGATAGGGATCAATGAAGGCAAGGAAAGAAGTGAGTAGCCTATTTTACAAGTCTGGGCGAGCTGATTGAAGAACATCATTCATTCATCGAATCAATTTTGGGCAGCTGTGTGGTCACAACTCCCCTTCATCTCTCAACTGTGGTTCATGCGAGTGAAGAAATGCTCTAA